TACTATGGGATTCCTGCAGTTCCCTCGGGAGCACGCACTGCTGCTCCCCTCATTTCTTATCACATTCACTACCCAAGATCAGTCACCCTCCTTGGGCCAGCTTCAAGGGAGGGAAGTACCTTTTCTGCCAGGATCTGTGCAGGGAGCAGGAACCAACATCACCCAAGAACCTGGGGGAAATGAAATCCCGGAGTCTAAATTCCTAAAACCCAAAGTAATACTAATGTGCCATCATTTGTGAAAACTAGATAATTCACGTTAGGCAATACGTGCAGCTTCCAAAGCATCTTTGGACGGAGCCCAGCCTCCAGACTAGACCAAGCAGCTTGAGATAGCTTGTGGATCTTTTTAATACTTTTGGCAACTAAAGATACAGTGAAGGTCAGGGGCGGCAGTCTACCAAGCCAAGCACGTAGCTGTCTTCGCTACAGTATGTAAAGCCTCCTGTAGCTAGAAGCAGCAGCATTAAAAACTTGACATGCTTAAAAGGTCCCCATTGCACAGCAAGTTACATTCTCTCTTTGTCTCTGTCTCTCTCAAGACATGGAAGTAGGCTTAACAAGTCACTGGGGACTGAAACAATAATATCTTTGTATCTAATGCTTACTGTAAGCAAAAGATGGATTACAAAACAGACTTTATTTTTAATTATTAATGTGCTGAACTAAAAAAATAAACCACAGAGTTGTATGCTGTTTATCAAGGATGAAAGGAAGAGAAACCATTCAGGAACATTAGTATTGTTATTTTAATTCTTTATTTCAGACCTTCTCTTGTATATCGGTGACTAGGTGATACATAAAAGAGAGACCATGTCACTGGAGTAGGGTGAAGTAGGTCTAATAATTGGTATCCGGCAGTGCAGTAAATTACCATGCTTAAATGCACGTGTAGATGGTGATGTTGGGATTAGTCGATTCTGGCTCAGATTGAGCCGGAGTATGTTTGGTCCCATGAATTGCATGTGTAGACGTGCCCATTGTGTGGCTGATAGCTGAGGTTGTAAGCCCCACACTTCACCAAAGTCGTGTCCCACATGGGTTTATCCATTCCTGATACAAAGGCTATAGACCTTGATCTGAAGCTATCTATTCAGGTTCCCTTTCTCATCCCTCCTCCTACTGTGCAGCATGTACCCTATGTACATACTGGGTTGGAAGACAGACCGGTTTCCTTTGTAACACCAGTATTAGCCAGAACTGGGCTGCACAAACCAAGAGGACCTCCCATGCCCCAGAACCTCCCATGCTCATACAATATGAGGGCACCCTAACAGACCCTATACATTGACATGCCCTATGGATGCCCCAGTATAGAAGAAGAATTTCTTAGCATACAGTTCTCTAGAGGTTCGGAGCTACAGAGAAGTCCATAAGTATGGCACAGTAAGATGGCATAAATTAGGGCAACCCTGGGATGCTGTAATTTCCCAAATCTCAGGAGTGCAAAGATCCATCAGGGAATATGCCTCCTAATAGTGTTTACTAGTGTTTTCAGTATACTGCACAGTCAGAATGACATATCTACCTCACCCTGCATTGGATCCCTGAATTGCTCTTATTATACAAAATGCATTGCTTTTCAGCGTCCTTATTTGTTTTGGGGTTTTTTTTCCTAATATTGTGAAGTATAAAATGGACATATAAAGGAGCATTTTATTTTCAAGTGGGGCAAGTGTTTTATTTTTAGGATACTCCTAAAGAGGAAAGAATCTCAGGCAGTTCTTATCTCTTAGCTAATAATAGTGACCTTGCTCACTCTGAATGGTAGCAGTGTTACCACATACTCCTTTTCATGGTCATCTGTACACATTCAGGCATTGCAGTATGTTTCTAATGATCTTCTCTTTAAAGCTGTTAGCAATTTAGGATGTTCATATTTTAATAGCAGGGTTTGTCCATAAGACAATTATCAACTCCTTACTCTGTTTCAAAGTATTATTACATGGCCTTCCTGATTATAAATGTTACCATTATGGTGTTTTGTGTAAAGAAGTTTTCTGTGTAACCTAAACATCTGTCTATATTGCACCATTTTCAAAGCACCATGAGATTTTTTTTTAACAGTTGTGCAACTGTATATAATCCCTGCTAGATACCAACTTGCTCATCCTTTTTATCTAGTTCTAAGGGAAAAAGGCTTAGTACAGCAATTGAGGCCGGGTACAGACATTACACCTTTGCCAGTGTAAATGATGGGAAACCAGTCTATACCTGTAACGGAACAGAAGTTCAGCAGACACAGACTGGTTTAAAAATGGCAGAGCCTGGTCTAAGATTTGCCCTTCCACCAAAGGGCAAATGTGTGTTCTGTTTGCTACTGATCTAAACTATGGCACTTGTAGAAAACGGTGTAACTTAGATCAGTTTCCCCTCAGGCTTTTTGAATGTCTGTACCTAGCCTTAGTCAAATCTGCAATTACATTAATCACAAATCAGCTTTTAAAATATACGTTGATTTTAACCCACTAAAATACGTCAACTAATATTGGTTTCCCCTTGTTTTAGATTAGCTTGTGGATCTTTTTTCATACAAGGAAGCTATCAACGTGCAGTTATGACAAATTGTAGATTTATTTTGACTGAATTAAAGCTAAAGCAAAATATAATAATCTACAACCTCAGTCTTGGAACATATGCTTAATATTACATGCATTAAGTAGCAATGAGACAACTTGCAACTTGAAATCCTGTCCTCTGTAAAGTCCATGTCAAGACTTTGCATGACTAAGGGAGGGTGAAGATTTTATCCACTGTTTATGGAGTTGATTAGTTTGCAGAATCAGGGCCCAAGGTCTTTGATATTTTCCCCTTGTCATTTCTAACATTATGGATGAAAAAGGGGTGTTAAGTTTTAAAGTCAGTGGCTATTTAAATATTATTACCAGAGGCCTTATCACCGTGATAGATTTAATTTTGTTATGTTTTAACTTTGCACATATGAAGCATTTTATAGAAAAGACTGCTTAGGCAGTGAATGAGGACAGCTCTCACTTTGCATCTCTACTGAAGTGGTGGACCTCTGTGGCATTGCTGCCACTTTAGATGGATGAAAATGAAATTAGTCTCAGCATGTTCAGTAGGAAACGAGAAGCATTATCTTCCTTTCTACCTAACTTTGTTTTTTGAAAACATGAATTAAAGTTTGCAGCTTCAGCACTGCCCTTAAAACCAGGGGATGCTACTAGTCTTTTCAGATGTGTTCTGTCACTGCATTATTCAAGAGCTGTGAAGTGTGATTTAGGAAGCGTAAATGGGAGCCCTGCAGAACTGGAGCTGTAGGATTTGACCTTTAATGTAATTTCAAATGGGGTAATCGTATGTACTTATTCCAGTGTGTGGAATTCAGTTTTTAAGATCAGGTTGAGATTTTCTCTGCCCTTGTGTGATGATGTCTATTTTCCTTTGCCATTATTGCACCTTTAGGTTCAATTGACCTAATCTTTACATACTGTACAGCGGTGGTCACCAGTCTTTTCCACCAGTGGGCCCCAATGGCCAAGATTGTGTCTGAGGTGGGCTGGCATTACTCACTGCACCCACTTCTCCCTGACACTCAGTCGGACCATGGCGTGGACTACGCCCATGCCATCAAATGCCACTGAAGCCCCAGCTTCACTGGCCACATCCAGTGGCTTTGCAGGTCAGATCTGGCCCATAGGATACCATGTAATGTATCCTCAGGTGTAACCTTAGAAGCAAAAAGATCACTCGGGCATATGAATATTTCTTTTTAATGGAGGATTCTACCTCTCATGTTCTGGGACTATATGGTTAAAGTAGAATACTTCAGAGACACGATAATAGTGTCAAACTTGCCATTGTTCTTGGGTATTCAGACTGCGCTGAAATATACTTTTGCATAAAGGGCTAGTTTAAGGCTCAGGAATCACTTAAGTCAGGGGTGGGCAAAATACGGCCTGCAAGCACTTTGTCCAGCCTGCAGTAGGTCCCTCAGTCCTGCCTGGCAGGTGCTTTCCAGCCTGTGGTGCATCCTACCACCTCTTGGGCATGCAACAGGGCTGGGGTGGTTCCACAGCTCCCTAGAACAGCCTGTGTGGTCCACGGGCCCAAATAATTGCCCACCCCTGACTTAAGTCCTACTTTAGCGTATAAGTTCGCGGAGACCTGTGCAGAATTTAGATGTTACATAGACCTTGTATTAATACGTTTCTTCCCTGGTCGTTTGGAAGCCCTTTCCCATAAGTGAAGGCAAGTGTGGTCTTGCAGCCTGCTTCCCAGAGGACCCTACGCACACCAAAGCAACAGCAGCATAAAATCTGTTGCCTGATTTTTCTAGAATAAATGCTGATGTTTCTATGTGTTCATTAAATTCTTAAAAAAATGAATGCCTGTGTGGAGCTTCTGAGACAGGACCGCGTGGTTATAGTGTGATGAGTTTGGTTGGCAGGGAGGGCTTGGAGTATTTGTAGGGCCCAAAGGGTGACATATAAAATACAAATATAAAACTTTTATACGCCTTTTTGATTCCAAGGTAAACTGTTTATACCAAACACTGTTTTAACGGGCGGAGGATCCTCCAGCAGAGCTTGCAGGACTTTGAGTGGTCTTTTTGGGACTCCAGAAACATTCGGGTCCAATCTCTCTCCCCAGGCAAAGTGTGGAAGAGTTATGAGAACATCACACGCTCAGCCCTTTCATAGATTCAAGGTGAAAGACTGTCTCGGAAACCAAACTGTAGGACATGTGCAGAGTTTCAGTGCCCCGTATCCTTTTACCTTCCAAGGCTTTTTTTCAAGGTGCATTTGGGTTTTGTGCTGAGATTCACATCTGGGCCGAGGTGTAAAGTCAGGTGGGCAGTGGATGGACATTACCAAAATCATTTAATTTAGGGAACTGAATCATATTCAGGAGATCATGCCAACCTGAGTTGGACCTGTATCAGTAACTAGAGGTGGCCTTTCTATATTAATCCTCTGTGCCGTGGAATCGAAGCAGTAGTCCTCTGGGTAGACCTAAGATTTTCCCAATCTTTATGTGATATGACCATGCTGCCATTTTATCCTTAGAGACTGCCTGTTTCAGCGTCCTAACTTCTACAAGTCATGGCTTTCTTTTTAGTGACATTGTAATATTCTCTTTTCATTAGTTGGAGAACACCAGCTGACGGGGCACAAAGTAGCAGTAAAAATTTTAAACAGGCAGAAAATTCGCAGCTTGGATGTGGTTGGGAAAATCAAAAGAGAAATTCAAAATCTAAAACTCTTCCGGCACCCTCATATTATTAAACTGTAAGTACCCATCTTCCTGCTCCCATCTGTTCATATTGTATTTCAGTTTTATTCCAGTCAAGAAGGCATTTTAGTAAATCACTCTTTCATTACTTCATTTTGTGTAAGTGTAATTGTAATCTTTTTTTTTTTTTTTTTTTT